CAAAAAAAAAAGCCACATTTTGTCTCTGTCTCTTTAAGAAGGGACGGGGGAGTGCCGGGGTCTCACGGAACCCTTACTTTGGCTTCACGGAACCCCGGGGTTAACGCACCAATTGGGAAACACTGGCCTAGACTCTCAAACGTCGTGTCGTGGGCCTGGTGCTGGGCTCTGCTCCTCCCGCTCGGCCCAGAGTCAGATGCAGGGGGCGGGAGGGACATCTCAGACACTCCTCACTTGTAGGGCTGGAGGGGTTAAGGCTGCAGTCAGCCACCAGATTACTGACTGCAGGGGCTTCGCTCCCCCCATCCTCCCGACTAGAGGTGAGTGTGGGTGGGGACAGACTCACCCAGGCCAACCCACTCAGGCCTGCAGGTAAGCTTGGCACGGGAACAGCACCTGGTGGGTTGTGCCTGTCCCCAGCCCGGCTATTAGTTCTGCCCCTGCCCAGCCCCCTCCTCTGCCCTTCAGGGCCTGTCTGCTCCCTGGGGCTGCAGTAGGTTTCTTCCACCTCCCTTGTCCGGATCTGCAATGGAGGGGAAGGAGCTTCTGGGGTAACAGAGAGGAGGAGCCAGGGGCTGGGTACAGGGGAGTCCTCCAGGGTCACAGAGACTGGGGGTGTGAGGCCAGGGAGGCTGGTGTCAGGGAAACAGTCGGATCCAGTTTTTTCTGTCCCACACCCAGATCCACGGTCGGATTCTCTCCCCGGGGAGGGAGCCCGGTGGGAAAGTGAAGATCGGGGCCTTGGAACCAGCATCGATAAATGTCACCTGCCCCCGGTCACAGTCCAGAGAAACAGTCGGATCCAGTTTTTTCTGTCCCACACCCAGATCCACGGTCGGATTCTCTCCCCAGGGAGGGAGCCCGGTGGGAAAGTGAAGATCGGGGCCTTGGAACCAGCATCGATAAATGTCACCTGCCCCTGGACACAGTCCAGACAAACCCGGATCCTGCTGGGTGGGTTTGGGGTCAGGGGGGTCGCTGGGTCAGTGAGAGCCTGGAACTGATCCCCCCACCGCTCCACAGCCCAGACCCCCTCCTCGGGGCTCAGGCTGATCCCTCCTTTCCTGCTCACCG